CTTCGGCTAGCTGTATCCATCGTGCATCGCTAAATATTAGTTTGACTGGTTTGATGACCGTAACCGGTGCTTCTGAATCGTTTGACAGCGAATACAATACACGCGCGAGATGATTGACACCGAATAAAGATATTTATTGGTTTAACTAATTAGATAATAACGTAACGCGAGAGTTGCGACAGCGAATAATTAATAGCTGCTTCTATTTACCTTTATTACCTAAGAATGCGCGCTACGCTTAAGATTCTCGTGGCAGGGAACGTGTCAACCTGTCTGACTCCACAAAGTTGCCAGACAACTCCGAAGTGTTTTTGCTTAGACTTCTGAGTTACTCGCCGGCCATCGAATAATCTTGCGATGATCGTGTAAGCTCGTGAGTAATAATAGCTCCGATTTATCCATGTTTCAGGCGTGGATTCGAAATCAGTGGGAAGCAGTTACTGTTCGATCTTTCAATTTTGTTTCAAAACGTGCCGTTAGTTTAAGAAACGTGGATGAAGGACCCGAAGAACGTAACAGGGTTACGGGACAGTAGATGGTTTCCAGTATTGATTTGGTCGTTTAGCGTATCAATGTAAGATCGGTCTATTGGTTTCTCATCCGGGATTCCGACAGGAAGTTCATGGCTCGACGGGCGCGTTGTTCATACTTCCATGCAATTTGTCCTGTGCGGTACGTTGGGAATCAGTTTGACGAAAGATTAGACGCAGTTTCAGCACGCAACGACGCTGTCATGTGTGTAATTGTTTTTAATTTGCGTCTCCGGAGGATTCGTAATCCTAATGAAGAATGAACGGTAAACACTGCTTTGACGTAAAGCAAACACCATGCAACATTCTAAGGCGCTGAAGCGAGCGAGACGAAGAAAATTCTGTCGAACGCGTGACATCTGCTTTTGTTTATTACTTTTTTTCATTTAATACGTATAATTTCGTGACTGCGACAAGGGGAATAATTGCTCCTCGTTTTTATCATAATTATCCGAGAACAGGCGAAGAGCCACCAATAAAGCGCAATAATCACTGTTATTGTAATCGTGCCAATAGAGGTTAATACAGTTGTCGAGCGCAATGACGAGTGAAAATTCCAAGGCTTAAATTATTGTAGACGCTTGGCTACTCCGCATCGCTAACGCCGAACTGCGGCATTGTGTTCTACTATAGGTGGACCACGAATCGACTAAGAGAAACGATCATCACGATGACTCCGCAGTTTGCGGTTTCGTCGAATTTATTTCCTATTCTACGCCATTAGCAGCTTAATTTTCCAATGAGTTATTTATCCTCGCCAGGGAGCGGAGAAGAAGCACGATCGAAATTATTCAGCTGGAAGACAAAGTCTCCTCTTGTTGGATTTAACACTTTACGAGACGTACACGTATTAATATTAATAAGCTTTTCAATGTTGGCGCTGTGCTGAACAAAAGGATAATAATTTTCCTCCCAACATTAACACTTCCACAGTCTCTATAATCACAGAGGAAATTCTCATTGAAAACCGATGAAAACCTTATCGGGAAATCCTTCGTTGTAAATCATCAGTTCCTAACGAAGCGAATATATCATCACTTAACACTCGGAGAGTAAAAATATTACCGTCAGCAGCTCAGGCGTTAACTATTTGCACTTTGAATTTTCCTTGTCTCCTGTTCTTGCCGTATAAACGGCGGAAATTTGAAATTGAAATATACTTGAACGGAAGCATTCAAATACGCATACTTTGTAGCAGAATTTTAATGGAAACGGTAGCATTTCAAAGTACAATCAGGGCGCGGGGGGTTACAGGAACGAGAAAATTCTACGAAACCGACGGCGCGTCCGAATAGAAGCGTCTCGAAGGGGACGGAACGATTCGCAAACATCTCGTGACCGTGCAAGTCGACCAAGAATCACTTTCGCCGATCGTCATCGCCGGCCAAGCTACTTACTCGTGACTTGCATAACCTCTCGCAAGGCTGTTACACGGCATTACACTTTCTGTTCGTTTCCTTGGTAGTCAGAATTACTCTCATTCCGGTACACTTTGCCCGGTGTTTCTCTACCTGATCGGGAAACGAGCATGACGCACAGCCTCGCATCAAATCTGCCGCGTTCCGTGGCATCCCTGAGTCGTTGTTCGCTGCTTTTCCACACAAACGCGAAGCAGAGTTGTCGGATTCTATCATAATACTCTGTTCTACTTCTACAAGAACGTAAAACATTCATTTTCCTTAAAATGTTAGAATGAATACGCTTTCAATTGATTGATCAGCATTCGTTATTGATATTTTCGACTTCGATATTTCAAATATATTTAATCTTCCCCTCCGGAGATCAACATTTCTCGCGGATTTTTGCAGCGATCGGAAACTGATCGACGAGTCTCCAATGGGAAATGGTTCGAATGGTACTCATATCGCTGAGAGGTTGTTTTCCTGGTAGTCGTCACTTGAACCTACCAGTTGGCTTTACCAGTCTGTTATAATCGAAGATCCACGGCAGGCGTAAATTATAAACGCTTCTTCGCAAGGATCTTCTTCGATCGTGCTGCATCTACGTTCCCACCGCGAATAATAATCGCCGTTGTCCGCGAGGTCGTTCGTGTCCGGTGATTTTTAACGAGAGAGCAATCAGCTCGTTCCCTTGTTAAGTGTGTTTTTCGCAAGGAGACACCCGGTGTAAAATAGTTGGGCGGAAACGAGGTAATCCGAGCCGCCCTGGGAACTTCGAAGCCGAGAGGAGTCTTAAATTTAGCAACGGAGGAAAATGCGGTACCTTGTCGACGGGAAATGCGGTTAATCATGCGAAAAGATAACAAGACGTCAAGCCGAGCCGTGAGCTCGGTAACACGAATTATTTCGTGTCGCGTTCGCCCGTGGAAGTTCAACGACGAGAAACAATCGCGGCCGGTGTTGGATTTTATACGACGAGCAAAAACCGAATCGATATTTTTCATTTGTAGCGCAACGAACGAACTGCGACGGAGGAAACGTCACTTTCAGCTTAATGAAATCGTCGTACGTTCTCCGAGGACTACAGGCGTCTTTAAGGGATTATCGCGAAGAAGAACAAGAGGAATAAAAATATCAAGCCGAAGAGCAAGAATGAAAATTTCGTTGGAGTCCGTCGAAACGAACTGAAATTTTCAAGGCAGCTTCGAAATCGAATCGAGTTCACGGACTTCCCGACTCGATGGCTTCGCCGGTGATAGTCATACGAACGCGCAAAAAGTTTAGAGAACTGCGGAAGTACAGTTTGTTTTGTCTCAGGGAGAGATTCGATTGTTGCGAGGAAGAAAATTGCATCGCGAAAACACGTTCGAAGTTAGTTTTCAAGGAGATGTGATGTAACGTTTGACATCGAAGGGCCACCGCCATCTCAGATGGACTTCAAGTAGGTTAAGCTGAACAAATATGGCTTGCAACAGACAATTGGCCACTTTCCCGGCCTTGGCGATGAAGTAGTTCAATATCGAAGAATCGACTGATCGCAATACCATGTAATAAATATTGATTTCCAAAGCTTCTGGGGGTACGCTAGATGTGCGTAAGCAGATCCGCGTTTCCGCCTGTAAATATACTGCATGTATTATGCATTCGCGAAAATCACAAGTGGGAGACATGTAAAAATATGAAAACTTCCCAGGTGCTCAAGGATGTTGCATTTTCATGGTTAGCTAAGTATTATATGAGAGAATTAATTTAGCGCTTCTTTGTTCGATCGATTAGAAATTTACTTATAATTGAAACGTTGCTGCGCTAGTTTAGGATTCATTTTTACTTCGAACATAAATTTATTTTAAACAGGCGGATTAATTACTACGCTAATGCGACGTTCAGGGGAGAACATGAATTTCTGTTCTCACCGCTCGTGTTATCTTGTAACGATTTAAATTCATATGTTAGATGTACTGCACGAAGACACGATGATATTCTAGAAGATGTAGTTATAAAGGAAAACAAATTACGACGAGTAAGTCATTTCCATTATTTTTAAGGATATCGAGTGTCGACAATACTGTATTATGTACTCGCGTTAATGGCAAATGACGGTTAATCCTTTCACGTGAATAAGAAGCAGTTACGAAACTTACATCGCAGCAGCTCGTCATTATTTTCTTGCGTTGGTGGAACGGATAAGCGTCTGTAAACACAAAGAAGATATCGCATATTAATGACGTAATCGTCGCACGAAGAAAGTAAAGAAACACAAATGTATTAAACAATTGAAACGACCACGCTGCGTTCTCGTGTAAAAACTTCATTTGTTCAACAATCTCCTAGAGAAGCGCCTTTGCAATGTCAAAGATTGAAAAAAGTACAAGCAGCTAAACTCACCGATTGTCCCATATTCTCTGAAATTATAATTTTCAATGAACCTCGGAACATCGTCGTGTCAATACTGGTCGCTACGAAAGGCAACTGGGGTTTGTTTAACTGCCAACAATTACACTGTCAAGTTTACGCATCTTAAGCGTGGACAAACATTCGTAATCTCCGGAGGAATATTAAAAAGGTCTAAAAACTCAAACACATATGAATTAACCATGGCCTTATTTCCCGCGCAAACCCGAGCTTCCGATTCGCCGAGCCAGCCCATTGGTGCTCCTTCAATTTTCAAATTCCTCCCAACTGTCGTACAATCGATATACATTCGAATTCATAAATAATCCGTTATTGCTTGAATCCTAATCACTTCGGCGTCCTTTCTCCTGTACAAAAGTAGAAATTACTGAAAATCAATGACCTACATGAGCTCACGTCGAGACGTACACTCGTCCACCATATTATGCGGAATTCTCATGTACACTCGAAGCCTTCAATGTATACGTCGTCAGAAATGTGAAAAATAATATTTCAACGATACACATTCCCGACGAATATTCCCAGGAAGCGAACGAGCAGCGTGCAACGGGAAAAAGTATTATGGTACGCGATCCGCGGTTTGAGAACCATACGGGGAAGCTTGCGGTGTCGTCCGCGAGATGGCAAGTTGGCGGCGGTAGTTTTCGTCGTCGGCACGGCGTGGCGGCCTTCGGTTTCCGTCGTCTTTATCGCGTCGTCCTCGTCGTCGTGGTTGTCCCCATCTTCGCCGCGGTCTTTCGTTTTTCGTTCCCGTTTCGAGGCAGAAGGGAAAAGGGACTCGGTTCCCCGTGCACGATCACGGAGCAGTTCGCCCCGGCGCAAGTAGACCAGTGACAAAAGGGAGACGAAGATCAATCGTATGGAGATCGGGCAACGTCGAGGTGGGAGATCCGTATGCGAGCACGTAGAATCGTGACAGGTTACGAACACGGATCGGTCAGTGCTCGAAAGTGGGAGACCGAAACGGGAGGAAGAGAAAAGGAAAAAAGGACGGAAGGAAGAAAAAAGGAGAGAGAAAGAAAGGGAGAGAGAAGGAGTGAGAGAGAGAGGAGTAGTACTAGCGGTAGAATGAAGCATCGCGGCGACGAGGAGTAGGGTGACGGCGAGTTGCGAGCAAGGTGGACGGGCCGGGCGGTTAGGTAGCGTAAACGTTAAACGGCCGCGCGTTACAGCCTGTAGAAAAAGAAATCGTCAGTCGGGTACGACCGCGTGCACAGGAAACTGTCGGCAGGGATTCGTCGACACTGACTTCTCCTTCCTCTTTTTTTTTCCTCTTCTCTTTTTCCCTCGCACTCCGCCTCTCCTTCATACTTTCCTCGTTCCGCCTACGTTTCCTATCCCCCGTTCGTTTTGTTGTTCCTTCTTCGCCTCCCCATCCGTGTGATACAACGGGCCCGCGACCACGGAGAGGAGGAAGAAGACGCGTGCCACCGATGAAGAAAACCGGCGACGAGCAGTCGTTGTTCTTACTCGCGCTCACTCGCTCGTAACAGCGGCGAGCGACTCGAACTGCTTTCGCCCGTTTCGCGACACGGCTACCGAAACAGATCATCGTCATCCGACCGACCGTCGTCGCCTGGACTGCACACGGGGCCCCGAAGAGGATAATAGAGAGGAACGGGCGCAGCATCGCCGTTCCGGTAATCCGCGCGAACCAGCGGCGTGTCTCTCCTTGCATGTACCGTCGGCCAGGTGACAGGAAGAGGACAACGGGGCCGTTGGAGGAAAGCTTCTTCTCGATTGTCGGCGGGGAAGCCGGTAACCTCGGTGTCACAGGACGATCGTGAGTCGGCGAGGAAACACGCTCCGAGGAGGGAGAACGAGACAAGGAACCACGTAAACGCAGGTGGGTGTTGTCCTTTGACATACTGTGCGCTCGCTCGCTCGCTCGCTCGCTCGCCTTCCCAAATAAGTGTGTGCGTACCGTAACGGTGGTTCGAGGCGTGCCGCCGGCGCGCCTTTTGAGGTTAGGACGGCCCGTGATCGATTCCGAGCCGCACAAAAACGAAACGAGACGCGCCGACCCATCGCGACTTGACTCGCACGGAAATCATTCGCTTCGTCGTTCGACCCTCTGCCCAGTGAAAGTGGCTGGCTTCGCGTGTCCCCGTGGAAACGATGCGGCCGCGTTTACCCACGTTTCCGACCGACTTTTACGGTACGCGTGAATCGATCGATTCACTTGTGAATTTTCGAGAAAAATAACCTTCGCGTTTTTCCGATCAGCGTCACGTCGGAAATCCGAAACGGATTGTCGCGACCCATTTGTCAGTTCCGGCGACAACATTCACCTTTCGATCCACGTCGCGATTACCGATCGGCCGATGAATCATCGCGCTTCCTGTCGATCTTGATTTCGTCTCGCCAACCAGAGGAACTTACTTTCCCGGGTAAACGATTCACGAGGCACGGTCGGGTCCGTTCACAGCTCGCCATGGAATGACAACCTAACCTCAAACCGAATCGATTCTATAATACCGTACGGCGATGATGTTATAACGGTTACATCGATTTCGTAACGAGATACTTCGCGTGACACCTACTCCGTTTTTCGCCGTAACAACGGGCTCACTCTGCTCCGCGGATTTGTGTACACCGATCGTTCACCGGAGGATCGAAACTCGACAAATAATCTCGATCATTTGCATGGCTATCGGTGTCCAGATAACGGCCCGCTGTAGCGGAATGTTTACACTAACTCCGGCACTGGCTCTACCGAATCGCATGTCACGACCTTCTTAACAATAGAACTACCAACCACTTAAACTGACTTTTCTAAATTCCTTTGTAAAACTTCTGTGTATTTATGAAGATTTTAATTGACTTGTGTTTCAGTATAAGTACTAATAAATCGACTTCCTTAACGATCTCTCACAGAAGCATCGGTACTTTTTCAATAATTGTAACGAGAAATCAGGAATGGGTCATCTGGTAGTTCTACTGTCAACGAATCGCGAAACAAAGACTAGAAAAAAATACGAACTAAATATTCAAATATATCACTGAAATAATTATTGCAATTCATTTATTACTCGTAAAGTACACTTTTCACTGTAGCCTGCTAACTATGATTGCGACTGGTCCGCATGAAAGAGACAGGCAACAGTACTCTCCATTCAACTGAAAATTGAAAAATTCCGTTCACTTTCTCGTTTTATCATTCTTGCAATTTTCCTAGCAATTTTTCCGAATCGTTCCACGGAACTCGGAAAGATCGTAGCCGACATCGAACGAAATCCTTTCGATTCGGGGAATGTAATCTGCGGACAGGTGTGTGCCGCGTAACACGAATTCCCCATTTTTAACTATCATACATCGCAACGAGAAAAGGCACTAAAGTTACATAAATCGAGGAGAAAACGGTGTTTTCTGTGCGCCGCGTGGCCACGGTGGCTCCGCTCGATCCACCTGATTTCGTGCACGCGTTTAACCCCTTTGCGGACGAAGATTCTTCGAAATGCACGAAACCTTCGACAGATGAAGCTAAATTACGTATCAATCGTATAATTGATAGAACAAAAATAAACTACGTGCCGATCTCTCGCTATTCGTGTCATCATTCGTTTGCGACTTTTCGAAATATGAAAATTTCATCTCGCCAGAAGGAAATTAGTTGATTTGTAGTAATCAGTAATTAAGTCGATTTGTTAATCGCACGAGGCTAAGTCGATGGATTCGACGTTGTCGTTAATATTCATCGATACCTCTCAATTGACGTCGCCACTTTTTCTCCGTCATTAACCGACATTTTATCGCGCTGGTTACAACAGCGGCGATTATGTCGGGCACACGTTCATTACGATGGAAATTATCTCGTCCGACGCATTGTTTCTAAATTAACCACTTTAATGATTCTGTTACACGTCTGCGCATTATTCCTTTCCGGCCTGCTTGATGTGCGTCTATTCTAGTGCCTATTGTTTCAACGTTACCCTCTGAATACGCGTCGTGTCGGTTGCGCCGTTGATTTTTGGGCAACCTGTACAACGATCGCGGGACAACATCGTTTAACCTGGGTATTAACCTTCGTTAACACGCTGTATTTAGATTCCTTTGATCGCCGCATCGGTTGCTCGAAGGCCTTCTAAAATCTCTGCAGATCGCAATTACGGGTTTAACCGTTCGTACGATTCGGTGCTCCCGAGCAGTTCGCACAGGATGGTTCCACTTATATTAGGCGGTTTAATTCGCCGGCAGCCGGGCAACGCGAATTATCTCATCGTTAGCATTCGACTTTCTCTTCTAATGATGTTTGAGCGTCTTTCATCGCTCGGTTTCAGAATTATCGTTTGCGCTGCCCGCCTCGTAATATCCGTTACAGCACAATGCACGTAATTCTCGCGTTCACCGGGGTAATTCTTCGCGAGGTCGGTCAATCTTCGATTCCTCCTGTACAGCTGCTTGTAATTCTCTAATCGATAGGACAGCTGAAAGACGAAAAAATGCTCGTCGAACGTATCGAAGTATGGACGCTCCGAAAGCTCGATAAGGAGAACCTTGGAGCAAACGTCGAAACCGATGAAACTTCATCGTCAACGATGCTACGGAGGGAAGAGAATATAACAGAAATCAGTATTTCTGTTCAGACGTTATCGCGCGAGATAAGAGCACCGCGAGATTCGTCATATTCTAAACATCGCCGTTACTTAATCTTATCCAGTGCGTTTTCGCTAAATCTCTGGTTATAAATAGTCTCCGAATCATTCTGCGGATTCAGGTGTTTAAGAATGCAAATGAGAAACATAGAATCACCGTGGAATCTGATTTCCCTTTTCCGACTGTTATTTTGAAATACCGATTAAAGAATTTCTGTTCGTTTCAAGCTAATCCCAAAAATCGGACGTTTCGTATGTTACAATCGAATGAATGCGTAACGATCCAAAGTCCAATGCATAAAAGTACTCGACCAAGAAAGTAAGGAGCGCAAGCAAAAATCGGCCTCGATGGTGATCCTCCATCGAAAACGAACGGACCAACGAAACTAGACCGGTCCATTCGGTCGCGAATCTGTTGCGCGAGGAATCGCGAGAGAAGAAAGCAGCGCGAGTGAATCGCGAAGACGTGATTCACGGTTTACGTTCGCTGGCCGATTTTGGCGCGACATTGTGCTCGCTTCCGGTCCCGTGCGCCGGGAGCCAACGAATCGAGCGCAACCGCGTTAGAAAACGCTTCTATCGTTATCCTATTGTTCGGATCCTCTACATACGCGTATCGCTTTCGTTTCGATTCCAGTAATCGACTTTGTTTATGTATTCAGTTCAATCAGAATCGCGTTGTTCCACGTGCATGTCGTTGCTTCCTGTTTATGCGAGTTATTAAATTAATAATTCCGAAACTGCGTGGCCGGCACATGTGAAAATGATAATGCGGGGTCGTAATGTTCATTTCCGGTAACAATTGACTCTCGTTGCTGCTCGACGGCTGCCTCCGTCGACGGCTTTCCCTCGGCCGTTTCGTGGACTTAACGTTTGCCTCGGATATCTTGGATTTTCGATTTTCTCCGATTCGCGTCGATTTGCGTTGCAACGCGTTCACTGGTCGGAAGATTCGGACCAGTGCATCGACTAACACAAACGTCAGTCACCAATGACCGACGCTTCTATTACTCGAAGACAATCGTGACATACAAGATAACCGACGTCGAATAAAGCAAGTGTAATGCAATAATGGGGATTGCCTCGAAGAATAGAAGATAATGATCGAGGCATTCGTTCATTATTAGTTCGCATCACGATCACTTTTGGAGCTTCAGTTCTTGGCAACCCTTCTACAAAATAGATCATTTCTTCGTCGCCGCAGCGAGACTGACACAAAGCTCTCAACGCATGATTCTCTCCAATTCCGTTCGAGTGATGTCTGCTGGGTCGCGAGTTCGGTCGTATTATTTACGAATGTAAATTCTCCCCACCCCGAAAATCGAACGGAATCGAGAAGGCGCGCCTAGGAAATTCCACTCGCATCGCATGGAATAACAATTCGCCGCTTGTTAGAATCGAAGTGAAATTGCACGGTACTCGAAAATGTTATCGCATTATATTTACATTACCCGCGTATGTTTTTAAAGAGATTGAATCGAAAAAACACGGTGGCTACGCGGAAGTATCGAACCATCGGAATAAATTTTCTTCGGTCCCCCGCTCGGATCGTTCGAATAAAAGGGCGACCGTTCGAATGAAATTCAAGGAACGTACACGTCGATGATGTGCAAGGATGAGCAGGGAATCAAACACGTTATTCCGAATCGATCAAGTATCCGGTTGATACGTAGGCGAGCAATTGTTCAGGGAATTGGCCCCGCGCGGCCGGCTAGTTTGGCACCGTCCCCAGTGCTGCAACTTTAATACTCTTGCCCGGAAACTTTCGTACAAATCGGGAGCCGGCCGTCTCCAGTTGCTCGGAATCAAATTTCAGAATGCGTGAAGCCTCGGATGTTGTAACACTTTATCTGCGGTTCGCTGATAACGTTATTCTTGCGTCTGTCGTAACGGAGGGGCTGCTTTCCACGCGGTAATTCTTCTTCCGTAAATAATCCTCTGTTTACGTGTGCGTGAAAAATGTTAGCCATAGAACTTCGGCATCTGTTCTCGACTCGTTCAGCATTATGACTATCTTTCGCAAATCGAACATCTCGAAATAAGGGAAACATTTAAATTTGAAATAGATGCCTGATTAATGCGATGAAAAGTCATAATTTATTTCTCTTGTTTTCGCCAGTTATTTTCCACGGTGTTCACTGTATCGCAAATGGTCTAATCCAAATCTCTGCGTTCGCCGCTGTATTCATCTCAGCTGCGTTATCTGCGTGCAATATTATATTTAGCAGGCAGCGATACTCGGCAGAAGCTA